AATTAATGAGTTTAACACTCAGTTTTCAGAATATGAACTTACTACAGTTCATTTTTCACATATTAGCAAATACTTCTGGAGTCCAGAAGGCAGGTCAGAATTTAGTTGAAATTTTACTTCTCACAGTAGCATCATTTTGTGCATGCTTTCCCGCTTCTTCAGCCTCAAGAGTCCTTATTATTTCACTGTCCACATCTTTACATGATGCCAGTTGTGCAAAATGCTGGAGGCAAGTACAACCACCAAAGACTTCCTGGTAAATGGGTTTGGCTCCTTATAAACTCTAGCAGTCTTGGCTTCTCTCTATGTTGCACTTTTTGCAAACTTTGTACTTGATAGATGATGATTAAAGGATAAACCAGCATCAGCCAATGTGATTCTTGGGATTTACTGTAATTTATTTAAATGTCCTGTTCTCCTTTGCTATGTAAGAATGTTATTCTGCTCTCAATATTCATAGAAAAGTGAAAATTTTGTATTGTTTATGATGGAGATGTTTAATAAATTAAGTTTCTAATGTGTAATATTTTTGTTTAATAATGGAATTTATATTTATAAACCTACACTAACTTCTATTTTATTTGTTTATATGTATGTGTTTATCTATTCGTGTGTGTGTGTATAGGTGGTATCTGTGTGTGTGTGTGTGTGTGTGTGTGTGTGTGTGTATGTGCCATATCTTTATGTGTGTCTGCAGAAGCCGAAAGGTACCTCAAAATCAATGGAGTAGGAGTTACAGGCAGTTGTAAGACACCAAGTGTAGGTGGTGGGAACTAAACTTTCCTCCTCTGGAAGAGCAGCAAGTGCTCTTAATCATTGAGCTATCTCTCCAACCCCCATCACTAATCTTAAAATGTAATGATTCATTAGTTTCATTAGTTAATTTAAACACTCAACTGATAATCAACTAGCTTTAAATAAAATATAATCTTACATTCACAGGTAGAAAAGTGGGCCATTATTAGAAAGAAATCTAAAACTTTAAGACACTTATTCAAAAAATAAACTAACATAACAAAAATTAAAATATTTTATCTCTTACGTTCATTAAATTAAAATCCAGGCTATAAAACAAATATAGTACTATCTTTTCTAGCAAATTCTAAGACTATCAATTACTCAAACACACTGGTATTATTTACCTTTCATATCAAAATAAGTAACATCACCATACAGAATATTATGAATCTTAAAATATATTTATTTGGACAACTTATAATTTTATTAGACCATCTTATATTTTTATTGTTTCTTTTATCTTTTTTACCTTATTTTTACCAAAAGTGGAACATTACAAAGTGACAGAATCATTCAAATCGAAGTTTGTGAAGATTCTTGCTTATATTTTCTGCCAGGCCTTATAAATGGACATTGTGTCATTTAATTGAGCTAATATCATATAATCACAGACCTCAATCCTGATTTGGCCCATCATCTCTATCATAGTACAAGCTTGTAGACATTTGTGTGCACAGAATCACACGAACAAATATGAATGTTTCTGTGATTGCCAGACTTTGTCTCCAAGTAATCCACATTTATATCCTTAATGTCTTTGTCTTTATTTCCCCTATTCATGTATCTGTTCTCTGCTGTACTATTTAGTTGCTTTTGTATCTAAACCAACCATAAATTTTAAAAATTTTATCTAATTTTTTCCATTAATGTAGAATTTTCAGATAACCTTTTTTCTTTTCCTGAAAAACCTTGATAAATAAAATTTATTCCTTGCTTCTTTTACATTGGATTTTTCTTTAACAGAGCCAGTATCAATGATTTAAAATTTGTATGTCTTACCTGCTATGTAACTACATGGGAACCCTGACTTCATTCCTCAGTTCTCTCATTAACACTGGGCTAATAATTACAAGCAGCCACATCATAATTGAAGTAATTAATGCTAGAATGTCATATAATATTCACACAGAGTAAACTTTCAGTAAGTAATATAAATTATTTGCATCAAGACTGCTTTTGTTCTATTTTAAATGAGAAGATATATGCAGGTTTGCTATTATATTTCACTTAACTATAATGTTGAAAACACAATGATAGTCAATTTTCAAAGTGTCCTCTCATGTTTAATCTGTATACCTTTTCATCCAAACTCAAACTGATGTCAGACCATTTTGTCTTGCATTCATATACATAAGAGAAAATGAAGTTTTTTTTTTCCATGCAATGCCATTGTCCCAAGTAAATGTGCTAAGAATATCTTTATGCTAGGGAAATCACCTGTGGGCAGATTCAAGGTCTTTGAAATCAAGGCCCATGCCAAACCATCAAAATTGTGTTCTCTTATTAACACATTTTAGGCCATAATATAAATATGATCCTTGTCTTTGCGGCTTCATTTCAAAGCTATTATTTCGTTCAGAACTATATGGTTGGAGCTGGAGAGATAGTTCAGCTTTTAAGAACATTTGCTGCTTTTGAAGGTGGATCCAGGTTTGGTGCCCAGCACCTATATGGAACCTAACAACAGCTCATGACTCTAGTTCCACAGTATCTGAAGCCATCTTCTGGCCTCCACAGGCAGTGCATGACATGGGTGCACATACATACATGCAGGCAAAAGAGTCATACACATAAAATAAACATAAATAAATAAAAATAAATATTTAAAAAATTGTGTGGTAAATATTATTAAACAACTACTTGGAGAATAGAAAAGATTTTCTATCATGTACTCTGAGTCACTTAAATTAGCCATTCTGGGTAAGAAAACATACTATTACACCAACAGTGACCAGTGTAAAAGATTTTCGTGAACATACCTGGTTTAGGTTCTGTCTCTTTCTTCAAATGCATATAAATGAACTAATTTGTTTCTTGTCAGAAAATGAATCAGATTTGAAAGTCTGAATTTCCTTCAACAGTGGGTAGGATTAGAGGAATGTAGTGTGTGAGGAGGATGCTAAATATTTGGCTAGTGGGAGTTCATATAGAAAGGCATAACAAGCATAAAATCAGAGAAGCACGACAATTCAGAGGAAGTGACCACTGAATTTAAAATTCAGTGGACCTTAATAAAGTTTGTATATGCTTATTGTAATATAAGAATTTAAATTCTAAGCTAAATAAATGTGGTTATTTTTCAGTCAGTATTAAACACTTCTTATTGACTATTCCTGGCTGACAAGAAGAAACAAATGGTGAATAAGGGAGAGAAGAGTACTTGCAAACCCTCTCTATAAACCTTGCTCTTATTAACCCAGGCCTAAAGATGCCAAACACTTGCTCAAGGCCAGTGTCCTATGTCAGCTTCATTCCCAGGATTTAGATTTTTTTTCCTTGTTATTCTATTTAAAAAGTTGTAAGTAACCCAAATATAAACATGCATGGAGAATAGCCTTACATTTTAAATGGTCTTCAAATATACTCACACAGTTTTTTTTGTTTTTTTTTTTTTTTTCTCTTTTTGAAGCAGGGTCTCCCTGTAGCCCCAGCTGGCCTGGAACTCACTATGTAGACCAGGCTGGCCTTGAACTCACAGAGATCTGCCTGCCTCTGCCTCCAAAGTGCTGGGACTAAAGGCGTGTGCCACCATGCCTGGCCAAATAGACCCATACATTTTAACTTTCCATGTCACAGTGAGGCTTTTTGCCAAACTGGAAGACTGATTCCTTGCCATTCCTCGGCATTTGCTTGATGTGTTTGGACCACATTAGAATAAAATGAAGCAGCTTCTGGATTTCTAGTGCCAAACCTTTCAGGAAAAAAAAAAAAAAAAAAAAAAAAAAAAAAAAAAAAACACAAAGACGAGTTCCACCTCTTTAAACATTGCCTTGCTACTCACTGATGCTTTGTTCTTTCACCTCCATTGCAAATATCGAAACACAGTCAAATGCCACCAGGTAAGGATTGCGCCAGATTTATTGTGAAGGTAACCACGAGAGTCTAGCTACCAGACTCGTGTGGAGATTCACCTTTATTGCGTGTGAATACCAGCCCAATCTTGAAAGTAGTTCGTTCCTTATTGCCAAATTGAATGAGATACATTTCTTTGCATACTACATGTCTGGGGAGGCACTTTGCAGTCTGTTTTTGAATGTTAGCGTGCTAAAATTGTCCTTCTGATGTACCTCTTTGAAATAACGAGTAAGTAAATGGAGGGAAGATATTAAAGCAAAGGAAGACACAACAGAGGTGAAGCAGCGAAAGAGGATTGCCTTAAACTGTTTTCTCCCGGTTATTTGTAAGTCTTTCAGTATAATAGACCACAGGCAATTAAAATAATTAATTTTTTAAAAGCTTTAACATTATTTAGCCCATGCTAATTTACTGGAATTAACTGCATGTGTTTTCCATTACACAATTTCTTCAATACTAAAATATTGCCATTGAAGTAAGTGAACTAAATCGTGACGTCTTAAAGTATCTGTCATAGTAAAAATGTCAATAGTCAAATTATTTGACTCCCTGAAATTTCATACTGACCTACCGTCTTTATATTTAGATATTTTACAGCTTACTTCTGAAGAGCGTGTTGAGTAATTATCTCATTCCAGAGGAACAGAAAGGGTTAAAGACATCGAGGGGTATGAATGTTTAAGAAACTAGCCATGGACCAGCAAAGCCTGCTCACACACTGCTATGCGATGACAAGGTTGTTGATGCCACAGCCTGCGAGGGACAGCAGGCGCGATGCCAGACCCTGAACCCGCTCCTCCTGGGGCTTCGGGCTGAGCCAGGCTGCTTTCCGTTCTGCCTCCCGGGAACCCCGGTCCTCCTAGTCATCCTCAGGAGGATTGTCTGCCCTAATTATCCAGGGAGGAAGACGCGTCTTTCTCTGAGTCCGCTCAGCAACACTCCCCATGGTAGCCTGCAGATTACTTCCCTCGGTGGGTGTGCGACTTCGTCTAAGCAAGTCACACTTACAGTAGCTTGTCACTGGCGAGGCCGCGAGCAGCACAGGGCGGGGGAGTGCGCAAGGGAGGAGGGAAGAAGGAGGAGGGAGGGAGGCGCAGAACTGAAGGCCTGGGAGCCTCCGGAGCTGGAGACACAGCAGGAGAGCGGCTAGGGTGCAGTTGCCAGCTCGCCCGCGCCGCCCGCACTCCGCCTCTGCTGAGTCCTGGAACCGCAGCGCCGAGCTGCGGGGCTGAGTCAATCGGACCATTGCTTCTGCGCTCTACGCCGGCTGCACAGCCAGCCCGGGGGCTGCGCTCAGCACGAAGGGTCGGATCTCGCGCTGCCAGCCTGTCTAACTCTGGATCGCTGCCTTCACTAGCCACTAGTCCGTGTTCCCCACTCAACGTTTATCCTTTCATTCCTAGTCACTCTACTTTCATTTTTTCTTCTCATTTTATGGAAAATACGTTTTCTTAGGATGACTCGTCGTCTTTAACTTCGTCCATTTCAGGACTGAAGACTGGAAAAGCATTCTCACCTCTTACCCTGCTGGTATTTAAAAATAACAGTCCTTAAAAAAAAAAAAAAGTCTTAAGAGGCAAAGGAACAGTCCACCGGACTCTCCTGGACACCCTTGACTGAACCCAGTTCGGAACTGTACAAGCCATCAGAACTCCCAATCCATCTCCTCCAACTGAAGGGGAGAACCAGAGGACTAGAAGCAAACTTCAGCTTCTCTGCCGGTCTGTGACTCCCGCATTTGGAGCATTTGTGTGCCCGAAGGCACAGGACCCCACCAGGACAAGGAGTCCTCCCGCGTCTCCCTCTCCCCTTTCGCCGATCCTGAACCTCAGACTGAGCGGCGCGGGACAGCAGCGGCAGTCGAGGCTTGAGGAAAATGCGGGGCTCCGGGCCCCGGGGTGCGGGACGCCGGTGGACCCTGGGCAGCGGGGGCGGCGGCGACACCCCCCGCAGCCCTGCTTCTCTAGCGGGTTGCTACTCCGCACCTCGCAAGACGCCCCTCTGGACCTGCCTTCTCCTGTGCGCGGCGCTCCGGACCCTCTTGGCCAGCCCCAGCAACGAAGGTAGGGTGATGGGGGTGGGGACCAAGGCCACCTGGGGTGGATGGCTGAGGCGGGGCCTGCGCTAGCCTGCTTCAGAGCTCCAGACACTGCTGCCTTGGACTAAAGCTCACTCTACATCTGCAATTAATATTTGTCCGTGTTCCCTGGCCTTTCCGAGTCTTTCTGGTGTCTTTGGTCGCATTGTTTGACATTAGCAGCAGAGTGCTTGCTAGGCTAGGAACCTGCCTGTGGACCGAGGCTGGTTGGGGGCTGGGAAGTTGGAAGCCAGAAGCAAAGGGGTCTGAGACCTGCGCTGGGAGATTGGGTTCAACTGGGTCCCGGGGCGCGTGGGGGTGGGTGGGTCGGGAGGGCAAATGACATATTCGGAATGAAGAAAGTGACATGGGTTTTAGGATCAAAGGTGGTTTTAGAAACCGTTATTTGATGCTGGTGTTAGGAAACGATGTGGGAATGACTAGTGCTTTTATTTTGGGGAAAAGTGCCCCTCACCCCCTGTTATTTAGGGCATCATCAGATGCTATTCTGGGGTGGACGGCAAGAGGTTTACTTCATAAAGGAGGGGGTGATGAAGGGCAGAAGGCAGCCCTTTTGATGAGTGTTTTTGTGTTTGGGGGGTGTTCACTGACATACTCAAGGGAAGGTGGAAGAAGGCGGGAAGGGGGAAGGTAGAATGGTATTAGAGGAGCAAGGCAGTGTAACCGTTAGGAAGTTATCCCTGGAATCCACAGTGGCTTATCGAGAGAGAGAGAGAGAGAGAGAGAGAGAGAGAGAGAGAGAGAGAGGTGTGTGAGATAGAAATATATCTGTCTGATCTCCAGAGTCATTTGGAGAGAGAGAGAGAGAGAGAGAGAGAGAGAGAGAGAGAGAGAGAGAGAGAGAGAGAGACTCTTCCCAACCAGAGGCACCAGAGGCACCTGAAGTACCCAACCCTCCTAGTATTCCAAATTCTTTGCAACAGACTGTCCATGCCTTCTTCTGGGAGGGTAGGGCTAGGCGCAGGGACACCTGTGTTGTTCTTGCTCCCCACCCCCACCCCCAGCAGCTGACCTCAGCTTCTGAGACTCCTGTCTTTTGCTCCCATTCAGACTGGTCTCCACGTCCTCTCCAGCTGCTCTAGATCTGCTCCTCTCTCACACCAGACCTCACTCCAGTCTAGTCTTAAGGGATCAAACCTTCATACGGTGGAGGGTGAAGAGTGGGGAAGAGCAGTTAGGCATCTCACAGGGATTCTAGTTGCCAGGTGTGCTCGTCTCCAGAATAAAAAACATCAAAACTCTATCCCGTTTTTTAGAAACATGGGACTTGGATTGGGACTGTGGAAGAGAATTACGGGGCTCAGAAGCTTATAAAGCTTCCACTCTGGGGACAGAAGACACTGAATGGGAAAGATGAAGTAACAGCAGCTGAGTGGTGTTTGTCCTCCGTTACTTGCATGGGTTCCGTCTCTGCTTTAGAAGACGCTGAGCTGGTAACCTAGTGCTGCCAGCTCCCAAGGAACGCTGAAAAAGCAGGACAAATAGACACACTCCGCCCAACAGACTCTCTCTAAAGTCTCTGCTTATTACTAAACATCTGTTTAAAGGAATATATGTATCAGTCGATATGATACAGGTGCATATATATGTGATCAGCCATGCTTACACAAAACAACTTGTGTTTTTCTCATCTCTTTAAAGTTTATTTTAAAGTGTTTTCTGAAGATCTAGACCTTTTATTAACATCTTATGTTAAGCCTTTAGGTTATAAGTCCAAAGGGTGCAAGAGGTCTGGGAACAGGGAGGAGCTTTTAACTATTTATTCTATCCAAAGGGCCGTACGGTCTTAGCCGTATTTAACCATAGCCTCTTTCAACCCTTCATCTGCGCTGTGGTTTCAACTCCTTTTCTAAGAGTGTGATAAAGAATAGGAAGAAGTCAGTTATCAGGCACTGTGACTGAGGGTGAACAAGCACCAAGACTGTGGAAAGGAGAAACAGGCAGAAGGAAATTAAATGAAGAGAGAAGAAGGAACAAGTCTCCAAGCATGCTGTCAGTGGAGCTTAGATCTTGTGGATTGCAGCCTAGCAAGTACGAGCTTCCCCAGCTAGCAAAACGCACAACAGACTTGTCTAAGTGGAAATGAACGTTGGAGGTACTAACAGAAACAAGTGGAGTCCTGTGTTGTCTCCTCCTGCACGGAAGACATTTAGAATAAAGCCTGCCTGCTCTTTAGGGCACATTTTATGACACATTCTATTTCATATCACTGAAAATGTAATTTTCTTACCATCTGTGGCTTTACCAAGCTCATGTCTTCATTAGTCAACAATATTTCATCTTTAATATCATCTCAGACTCATAGTTTGTTAAATCTACATTCTCATCTTCTTTTGGTCTTCTATACTACTGCTATTGTGTATAGAGCAGAGACCTATACTAAATATTTCTAACATCCGTGTTTTTATTTATTTAACAAATAAGATTAACTATTTCTTCAATTTGATTTTTGTTTGTTTTAGAATAGTTTTGGCAGGTCAAGGGCAGAAGATTTGATTCACATGCTAGGTTCATTAATGAATTGCTTTCATAGAATTGATCTCTACAACACATAGAAATGCTTAGTGATTTCCCATCTGGCATGTAAATGATTATGTGATAAAATGTCAGACAGGAAGAAATAAATGTGAATTTTCATTCACATTTTCTTATTTTTTTCATTTTAAAATTATAACTATATGTAGAATTTAACAGAAAAGTTAAACATGTCCGGATTCTTGAATTGTCATCAAATTTAATTATGTACACTGATAGAATGTTGATTAGGAGACAGCAAGAGGAAATTTACGTTCTAAGCAAATTACAAGATCAATATATATTTAGTTGCTTCTTAAAGGCATAAACTACATGTGAAAGAAACGCTTAATCTATGGTAAAAGACACAAAATTTTTCTTAAAAAAATCCCACCCACAAACTTATTTAACAGAAAATGTTAATCTCATATTGATCTAGGAGATCTGTATTTAGCAAGTGTATCAACAAGTGAAAATTTTAAGAAATTTAATAAGTAAAAGGGCTTTGACAACTGTTATGAATTTTTTGGAGGGGTCTTTGAACTTATTCAGTAACTGCTACTTTTTGCTGTCTAGAGATATATTTGTAAACAAGCATTATTTGACAAGTGCTTTTCTCAGCAGGGATTCTTGGCCAATTACTGCTGAACAGCTCTGCATTGAAAATGATTCACCCACAGTGAATCAAGCTTAATTCATTGAAGCTACAGTCAGTAATGTCCCAGTAAAGTGCTTCTAACTGTTGTCAGCAGTTTGTATTTGAAAAGTCCAGTTTCTTGTTACTGATTGTTTTATATGTTTGATAAAGTAAGATAGAAACTTCTTGGAGAAGAAACATATAAGGGGGAAATTGGATAAACTGCTTTAAGAGACAATCATAAAATTGTAAATGTTGTCATTGGAAAGAGATGGGAAGAAAAGTTTGTTTAAGGATTTTTTTTTTCTCAGCTTATAATAGGGCCAGGCCCATAAAACATACAGAAGGGCACAATAGATTTGTAAAACTAAATGGCTTTATTTTGTGGTCCTGTCCTCCAGTTGTAATTCATTCCTTTTTAGATTCACTGGCAGGACCCCACAGGAAAAGGACAGTAAAATCATTCCCTCACCAGGATACTACTGAACATGAAAAGAGAGCCATTACATCTCTTTGAATCATAGATTGTTGGAAACAGAAGGGGACATGGAGGGTTTTGGCTTTTTGCTTAATAAACCATGAAGGTAGTGGGTGGGAATCTTGACATTTTAAGCTCTGTCTTGGTGTCAGGGTGACAGGTAAGATGATTTCATTTACTTACGTAAAACAGGAAAAAAAATGGGTGACAATTCCATTCTCCAATGTAATGGAGATTTCTCCTTCACTGGAAATATCCTTGTTATAATTTAGTAACTTAAAAAGACTACCAGGTATTTATTTCAGCCTACATACCATAGAAAAAGACTCATATTTTGTTGGTTTGGTGGGTTTTTCTGATTAGATTTAAACCAGATCTTTGTAAAGGCTAGGTATGAAATCTAACACAGAGCTAGCCCAAGTGTTCACTCTGATATTTTGAAATGTACTTTTGACAATATTTATGTGCTTGCTATATGAAATGCAAACATTTAAAGTATATGGCATCTCTACATAAAATATCAAAATCAAGTGATATAGCTATTTATAGACAACCATTCACAAACATTTGATTAGATATTTGATTCATTAATACCTCTGGCATGAAAATGACCGTGTGTCAACTATTTCTAGCTATTAGGTTAGGTGTTTGACTCACTCTACCATTTGATTGTCTTCTGTTTGGTGTGTTTTCTAATATATTTGTATGAATGATAACTATTTTCTCTTTCATTTGGAAGAAATCTTTCTAATGTTGCCTATAAATATACAGTATAAGATGTATGATTATATTGGCTGACTGCAGCTATTTTTTCCCTTCTGTGTCAAATTTAATTCCTAAAGGAAAATAATCTGTTACTATATGAAGAAATAACTATTAAAGAACATTGATAATTTCTTTAAAATAATTTCAATTTAAGTTAGCACATATAATTTATTTGTGAGTAGTTAGATTATAGTTAACAGAGGTATTTAGTGATTTGAATATTATTGTGACATTTTGAAAATATTAAAATATTTATAGGTATTTTCATAAAGTATCAGAATTAGTGAAGTATGAGTATCATTGTTTACTTATTAGTCATTAAAATGCATTATTTTCAGTTTTTACAAAGAGCAAATTTTGACTATAAATGTGCAGTGTGAGGTGTAAGAGCAGAGATTAATACATTAGAAAGTTAGAGTCCTTTTCGTTGTTGTCATGTGAATACTGAGTATATCTCCATGGGGGTGAAGGGCTCCTACCTACATTCTTTACTAGGTAAATATATATTTATTTATGTTATAAATTAATATAATCAATAATATAGATACTTCTGTTTCTTGTATTCATTGTC